CCATTTAAAACTCACTGGCAGTAGTTGAATTAACGTGGACATAAAACACTTTTGCGGTACAGAGACGATGACAGCGGTGGGGTGGGGGAAAGGCATATCCTTCTGGGAGGGGAGGGGCGGGCGATTATCCCTCCGCTGAGTATGGTCGGAGATTTAATCACTAAACCCTCGCAAAAGCTTTTGATTATTTTGAAAGCCAGTGGTTGGTTGCCACAAATATGAAACGAAGGAAACACATTCGCCGTACAGGCAGAAAATCCTGTTGACTCAAAATAGGCTGCCAACTGCTTCCCAGAGGGCATAAGATGGTGCCCTTCTTCAAAAAACTCATTTATTGGTGTTTTGATGGGAAATGAGCAACATAAAGTTTTAAACTAACTTTGCTCTCAAATTATCTGCACAAAGACCACTGTTTCAATATCCTTCCTGATTGGACGCAAGCGGAGTGCGATGCAAAGTTAATTCGAAACGGCGCTGGCCGGACTACCTCAAAAACAGTACTGAAATAGCTGCTCAACACGACAAACCTTGAGGAATGATACATTCAAGGCTCATTTGGACAGCGTTACCTGTGGGTTGGAAGATTAACAACTGATGAGATAGCTCAGTCCTCGGGTTGAATTCTTTGATCTGAATGTAGGACTGAGAGTCAAACTGTGATGGCTCCTTCAAAATGCGGACTTTTGGTATTCTATTCGTGGAAAACCTTAATTGATCTCATAGAGGCCTGGCACTCGTAGTATGCACCAGGCTGTGTCTGGCACGCTTAGAAGGCCTCTTTAGATTTGTCAGCCACCGTTCCCTGCCCACCCTCGATCGTCTGGACACTGTCCCGCCTTCGATGCAAGGTGGGCTAGGGAGTGCGGTAAATGGAGCGCGAGTTAACCAAACTTTAAACGATTGCCACATCCGATTTGGTGGGCAGGGGGGTTGACGTCAATGCATCCAAAGGTCGTCTTTTCACGATACTCATCGTACTTCACAGCTTACATGATATCGTATCATGTGTTGTTTGACTGCACAAGTCGTTGTACGACACGGTCTCAAAGTGCACTTTGTTTACTTATATGCGACTGACCTGACAGGCTGAGAGCATCGGACCTGTGAAAGATAATTCCAGTGCGATGTTTGTGTCTGGTGTAGTCGTTAAGTCTCCTAGACGAAGTCTGTGATGACAAGGAGGACTAAAGACACAACATATGCTACTGACTTGATAGTAGGTCAATACCCTCAAACTCTATCTTAGCTGAAATTTAAAGAACTTCAGGAATTGTGAGGAAGAGATCTTACTCCCTGGAGTGTTGGCTAGCGCCTACTGTAACCCGAAACTCTCTAGAGGTGCAAGAATGCGCAGTTGAACAGTCGTTTCAGAATTTGTGGGCAATACATATATATATATAAGGGAAGAGCATAGGTCAGCTACGTAGGATTAAGTTTGAAGACCCCACACGACGTCAATATATTACACACTGCCCTCTTCGAGAATCACTAAATACAAATGCAAATTCATTAGGAGGGTAGAAAGTTGGAGTAGTTAGTCAAACTTTTTAAACGTAACTTATCAGAAATGCATTTGGCAAATTTTGAATAATACACTTTGACCCAGCTATGAAAACCTCAGTGACATCGATAGGATTCGAACCCATGAAGCTTGAGTACAACAAACGCTCCTACCACCTGAGCTACGAAGCCTCACCAGAAGACGTGATTTTAATCACATTTAGGTCATGTTGTCCGCCTAGCCTACTGCAACGTCTGAAATCTACCAAATTTGATACCATAAGATGACTGTCTAAGTAGGATGTCATAAGTAATCAATCTAGAATCCACCAGATGACCTTCAGGCTTAGTTGGTGTTTTGCAGATGTGAACAGTTCATTTTGACCTAATTGTGAAACACTGGGCGGGTAAGTTGACCAAGTGTAAATAAACTCACGGTGCCCGGTGGGAACTCGTAGCTCAGGTGACTAAAACGTTGGCTGTACTAAAGTCTACCCTTTGCTGTCGTGGGTTCGAATCCCACCGAGTTCGCCGTGTTTTTTAACGTGTCGAAACGAGCAACTTTATCATCTTAAAAGCGTGCCACCTACATATTTACCTTGATACCCTAAGATCGATTAATCGATCTTTAGTCGCAGAGCATCGAATGGAAACCACTTGAAGTTCTGGACATTAGAGACGAATAAATGAGATCCAGCAAAACACATCCTCTCCGAACAGACGTGCAGTACAAACCATAAAAAGAAATGTGATCCTTCGTGACGAAGCCTGAAAAGCCTAGACAGTTGTACAGGAATCCTTAATTCAAATGAATTTTCTTGCTTGCCGAATCAAAGTACCTGAAGCAAAGCGATCAGTTGTTTAGGATGTTGTCTTAATAGGTTTCTCAGGAGGTGAAGGAATACCTACTAGCTTTCGATGGTTACTCATGAAGTCTGTAGTGGTGTATGATGGATTAGCTGGCAAATCAAAAATTCTCAGGCTGTAGTAACCTTTTTCATAGGAAGCAGATTGTTGTTGGGAGGCGGGGCGGCCATGCGACATTTTGGCATGTATGCTTTCCGCTATGAAATGTGGACGTCAAGGTAGGCAGCTGTGGGTCGCGGAAAGTGTGGCATCTGTAGGGATTTTTTATACGGCTAAACGGATTCATCAAAACAAGATATTTTTCAGCCTGCTCCGTTTTAACTGACTGCCTTCTGCGATCGAAAGACGACTTCTGACAAGCCGACAGGTATTACTGTTCAGTAAGAAGAACGGTCTGACTTCTGAAGCCGGATTTATGACAGACATCGTACATACTGTTAGTTCACATCTTTTGGAAGTATAAATCAGCTGGTTCTATCGACGTGCATTCTTCCGTACGAGAAGTTAAAATATGTTAAAAATGTTCTGAGACAGCCGAGGCTGAGAGACTTCCAAGTGAAAAACCAGCCGGTAGAGAATAGCAGAAAGAGAACATATGCGAATCTGTGCATTTTAGTACTCATTAGACGAGGCCTTTCTAGAGGTCAGTGTAGTAAGCACGTTCTTCTTTTCTACAGTCAGCCTCGTGTCTTCGTGTAAACGTCCCTGTCAGAGATCTATTAGAATACCCACTCATGTAGGACACATTTAAAGCCCATTTAACTGCGCTGTACCATGGTCAGATGAGCTCCTTTCTTTGGATCTTTTAAGTAAAAGCACGTATGACCCCTTCTTGATATAGTTTTGTGGAAATGTTGCAAGCAGTGCACCATTGTGACTAAAATTCTTTCAAAAAATTCTTCATCACATGTGTCATCAACATTTGAAGGTACGGAGTGTAGCTTGCCTAGGCAGCGTATTCGATGGTCAGGCATAGTGAAGGCACATATTCCGTAGGCAGGACTGTTAGTTCAGTGAGAAGCGACAACAATCGGAGGACTTGCAAGGATGTGTCATGTGCGGCGAAATTTGGTGGTGGCTAACTGGCGTGTCGATTCAATACGAGAGAGACAGGGGATATTATTAATGTTTGACTATTGGATAGTAACCCGTCGTGCCGTGTCACGCGTGAGAAGGGGCTTCCCGCGTTGATAGAGACCGCAACCAAACTCCAAACATCCTCGTCTAAGAGTGTCATTGAAATACATTTATGTATGCACGTGTCTCTAGAACACAACTGCTGCCATTGAGCTCGCGGGCCTCTAAAAGTATTGCCGTATATGTGTGTGACACCGGTAGTTCGACTGTCGGGATCGACAATGTCCACCGCGTGTTTTACAGCAGGGCGAGGCAGGCAGGGTGATTTGAGCGTGGATTGGTTAATAGTAACGTTCGACTTTCGCAGCATGCACCTCACTCCCTCCTTCCTCCCTTATGGGCCCGACGTCGAGACATGGTCAGAAAGACCGGAGGTAGGAAAGGACGGAGATGGATGGCAGGGTTGGACCCGCACCTAGGCGTACCATTCCACATCCCCCTGGTCCGCAAAAAACACTTTACCAGGATTTTAACCAACAATAAAATAGAAGAACCAGGAGGAGGATGACGAAACGGTCATGCTCACCACGTGTATACCCAACGGGAAAGCAGGCGCATCAAACAACAGGGAGCCAGATGCCATGGAACTGCCAGCGCTCATCGGCCTGCAAAGGCCACGTTTTGCAGGCGGTCGAAACTAAATTTTTTCAAAAGCCGGCATCCTAAAATAACTGAAATATAATGGGATTATGCTGCACGATGATTATTACTATAAACCTATTTAAGTAGCCTTTCCTGGTCGAAAACACACTTCAAAATTTTGGTCAACATTTCATGAGTTAACGCATCTACTGTCCCTCCCCGGAAATTGTCGACTTCGGTTCGTCAATTCGTCCTCAGATATGAAGCAAATGTGCAAAACTATTTAAATCTTAACATGATTAAAAATCGATATTGCCCTGTCACTCCTACCAGTCAGCCTTTATCTGTGGGTTGGTCTAACGTTCCGATCGGTTAGCACCTTTTTCAATTTTCCTTGAGATTGCTGTACTTAGCGTCTACTTTTGTGTCGAGTAATGCCACACCTATCAGAATAATTAGCCTCTTAAAATTCACGGCCTTTCTTATTTGAGCAAACACCTATGATACGAGTCTTATTCCACGCAAATTTGTCACTTTTCAGTGTAAACATTGCAATCTGGTACAAGTGGTCTCGCCTTTTTACTGCTAGTTGATGTTCATGTATGCGTTAGAGACAGTTTTACCAGTTTGATAAAAGCAGACCGCAAAGTACACCATTTTAAGAGCTACATCATCGTCTTTTTCCCTCGACTTATTGACGAATAAGGTTGGAAAAATTGACTCCCTCTCTTCCTCACAATTTATTGCGCGAAACATGTCGTCGAAAAGCGACTCAACGAGGTCTCCTAAGAACATGGAATTATTTAAGACTTCTGATCTGAGTGATCTGCCTACCCCCCCAATCCAACGAGGCTTTCAAAGATACCGTTCAGCAGGTTACCCCACCTTCGGCAGTAAACATGCGTTACCGGAATATGCTCAACTTCCCAAAGTACGCTCGGAGAAGGAGGAGCGCATTCGATAACCGCATCAAGTGCACCGGGATGCTGTTAGACCCACTTGCAATTTTGGCTGTTCTCCAAAAATTCCTCGAACCCTACATCAATCGGGGCATCAACGCTGTAATCAGTCGACACATGGACGAATTCTTTTCGATTACTTTCAAGAACATTCGTTCAAATTTCGGCGAATCCGCCCTAACTGATGGGGACCTACGACTTTTGCAGTACAGCTTAATGAAAAGTGCTGCCGCCCAGTTTCGACCGCCCTCCCACCAGTCCGACAAACAATCATCCCTACATCTGAATGGGGATCAACATCCTAATTCCCAGTCCGCGCCGTAAAGCGTGATCCCACCGCCCATGGCCCTCGAATCCCATCGTCCCCTCCGCTGTACGATCCCCCTCCGAAAGACAGTCCATCAGGAGCTCGACTCTAGATAGGCAGTAAAAGATGAGGAGGATGCCTCGGCCGTCGCCAAGGATAACAATCTCTCAGAGCTGTCCGAATTACTTTCTTCTGGCCCACCCAACGGCGGCTTGCCTCCACTATCACTGAAGTTCTCCCTTTTGCCACCCACGTTTCCGCCTGCAATCGGTTCCACTGTTCCCGCTCGCAAATCCAAGACACTTGCCAGTCAAATATCACCACCACCACCACC